TTGCATATTTAGGTAGAGGAATAAGGAGCTGGGCTGAATCTCAACAAAAACGGGCAACTGCTCACTCGCACAACCCTAATAACAAATGGGTATTAAATCAAACGAAGGGCATTTGTGGCTGTGGACTATGTTTGGAACAAGGTGGGTAAGAAGCTCAGGGTCTCCTCTCCTTTGGGGGATCTCCATCATTCCCATCTCCCGATGAACTATAACTACCAGGACGGAAACTTTGGCGTGGCGGTTGTATATTATGGGTTTGCTTTGCCTTTTCTGTGTTTTACCGTAACCAGATCTTGAAGAATGGACAGTGGAAAATTGTACATTGGAATTAATGCAGACAGATTTGGTAGAGATGATCAAGTTTACACCCAGAGCATGTCCTCTGAGTGGGCAGAATGGGCTGTTGGCGTTTATCCCCCCCCAAAATAAACTTGTCATTGTGCTAATTATTTGAACAATAAGAATGAACTTTTGCAGCTTAATGTAAGTTAATGTTGGTTGGTTAACTAATATAATTCAACCAGGTGAGTAGTGAGATAAAGAAAATATATAACAGTTTATCATTCAAATCTGCTTTAATACATCATCAATCAATTCATAATAAAATAAAAAAAATAAAATAAAATAAAAAAGAAAGAAAGAAAAAAAAAACTCTATAAATAGAGAGAAGGATTACTTTAAAAAATAAAGAAATCATCTTTATTTATAAAAGCAGTCAAATTGTATAATGTTTTACACTTTACTTTCTATATGGGTTGAAGAATCACACCGCATATGATTCTACATACAAATTCATATCAATTGACTAAAGCTGGTGGAAAACTTCTCCTTCAATAAGTATTAGATCTGATCAAATAAGAAATACAGCTTATCAGATTTTATTGAGAATATAATAAATCATATTTACTATATAAGATTCTCCTCTTCTCTATCTTAGTATTGATAAGAATAAAATTTTAAAGCTGATATTCTAAATAATGCAATTATGACCAAGTTAAATATCCTAGTTAAATATAAGAAATTAAAATTGTTTATAAGCAACTTGATATACTAAACAATACCTCCACTCTGTATAAGATCTAATCCGAAGCTATCTACAACTTTGATAAAGACTGAGTAAGGAGACTGTGACTGCAATAGCTATTATTATAGTTAGGTAGTTACTCGAGTGAGGTTAATCAGTGGCTACGACAAGAGGTTGGTCGACCATACAGGAAGAAACTCTCAAGTCCACGCCCAACAAAGGAATCTCGATTAACCTAAACCCTCATACGGGGGAGGTTTGAACTGATAGTTCTAGAACTTGTATTACTAGAAATGGTGTGTAATTTATGTGTGAGGCAGGCCCACGGTTGGCTGAAATGACGTGGTATCGGAGGTATCAATCAGGTGTCATCTGATGTGGGGCGGATGACGTGCCCGATTGCTAAAACCTTGTCTCATTAGATTTGACCGCACGGCGGCCCTTGGTTTCCCACGCCAGGTGCCACCTAACGGCCGCCTCAACCGTTCGGCCACCGGCGATAGCAAAGTTATAATCAACTCTGAGAAATATGACTTCACAGAGCTTTTGCACCTTAAAGAAATTGTAAGTCGTAAAGAATTACTGAGTTAGTCAATATATCCCTAATTTAGATCTATCTATATTCACAACCTTCAAAGGTTAAAGTTAAGATGAATTAATTTAATAAGTTATCAGAACATATAGAATTGAGCTTAGATAACTTATATATAAAATAAAATACTTATTTCAACTGTAGTATACAAAAAAGGAAAAGTTATATCTTATTTATATGTAAAAATTATTCTACATTATATATAAATTTATATAAATAATAAAAGTAATTTAGATTCAATACTATTTAAAAGTTATTTTTTTTAAAAAATATATATTTATGATAAAAGAGAGTATTTTATATTTGAAATATTTAAAATAGCTTAATAATAATTAATAATAATTTACTTAATTTTGATTGAATTATATAAAAGCTTAATATTTATCTTTATATATATAAATTCTATTATAAAGTTAATTTTATGACTTAAAGTCATGTTAATTTTTTAAATAACCATCTAAAAATACTTCTCAACTATAAAGATAAATATAAAGTTGGAAGACTTTCTAAAAAGTATATATAAGATTTTTAAGATATTTAAAAAACGTTTTAATTATATTCTATGACTTTTAAATAGAAGATATCTCACTACTACAATTATAAAAACGTAATATAAAAGGTAGAGAAGAAAATAAGAAGGGAAAAAAAAAAAAAAAAAAAAAAAAAAAAGGGAAAGAAAGATCTGATTTAGGGAAGGTTGACTAAACGTAAAAAGATAGTCTTGCAAGAGAAGAAGTTTAATGTCCTATGACTCTTTTTACTTTCTCTGTTAAAAGTATACCAGTTAATTAATTAAGATGAATCAAACACGCTAGAAGAAATGTTTTTATTTCTAGTATAGTTTAATTTTAATAAGATATCTTTTGTTGTTGCTACTACAGAACTAAACACTCCAATTATATATGAGAATGAATTAGATGTCTTCCTCTGTTGGGTGTCAGAGTTGGGAATGACGTTATGGGTAACTAATCGGTTGTAAGATGGACATCAAAAATAGCAGTCCCTGACCTCGTTCTTACCGTACTAACCACCCAGTCATGCAGATGGCGATATTTATATCTACACACAGCACAGTAAACACAGTCATCGTATTTCTCTGCTCCTGAACAGCAAGGGAAAAAAGTGACCAGACAGCATCGGGTCAATTTATGCTGTGTGTTGTTTGTCTGTGCTGTCCAGCCCTTAAATGGTTTCGATAAGTCAAGCAAACCGGATCTCCGCCCGTGCTTGTACCCTAGTTACAACAAAGAACTCCACATTCTTTAACCCTTCGAAGGCCTCCATCCTCCTCCCCTCCCCCCACTCCCCACCCCCACCCCCAATTTACACCCGCGCATATAGACCCTTCGACCACGGCAATCCAGATGACAGGTTCCGGACCGTTTGCTTACTTCGATATTGCATGACCTAACGACTGTGAATTTCACCCCCATCCCGCCTTCTACTACAATAGTCGTTCCGATATACCCGCCACTGACGCAGCTAACCCGCATGGAGGAATGTATGTACTTCAACTAACCAGAATTGTCCTTTGGATGTAAAACGGGAATTGTGTCATCCACCATCTTTTTCTCTTCTGCGACTTTTTCAAGACCCAGGGAATCTAGCTGGCGGCGCTCTCTTGCTTTGGAGGCGAGCTCTGAGGCCATTTTAATCCTATTCGGCTATTGAACTGTAAGGGGTCCAGTGAAACTCCAGCTATTGCTATATATTCGGCTGGCACGTCCAAACTCTACATATTTACC